TGGACAATTCCCACTCCAAATACGTGGTCACTGCTGGCTATTTCTATGTTGGGAGGGACACTCAAATAGATAGGGATCGTTGTCATTAAGATTAGCAAAGCCTGACTCTTGCAGCACAGAACGCGGGCCGATCATGGAGAAAGAATGACACAATGTGAGAACATAGGATCTGCAGCTTTATCGGTGAAGGATTACATTAATAACCACATTTTGCATTTGTCATAGTGCCTCTTCTTAATAACATTCAAGTACTTGCCTGTAACCCACTTAGCTCATCCTCAGAACAATGAACCACAAGCAGGAGCCACGTTAAGGGCTGCAGCTGGTAGTTTCTTCACGGTAGTCTTTCTTTCTTCTAGGCACTCTTCCCTCCTTCCTCCCGACCTCCTGCCTCTTAGCTGAGATGAGGGTGGAATAGGGAAAAACAGAGGAATTGAGGCTTTTACAAAATACTCAGCTTCCATTGAAAAATATCGTAGGAATGTGGCAACACATTTGTAACTTGCCACAGTCCTGAGTGCTCTGGCCTTCTGGGGTGGGTGTGGGCTTGTGCAGCCATTGACACTCTCTGGATGTGGGCAGAATAAGGGTCTTTCCCTCTGGAAGCTCGGCCTGCGGTGGCTTGGCAGTTGACTGCTCTATTCTGTAGAAGATAAGAGGCTGAATTCTGTTTTTTTAAATTGCATTTTAGGTTTTGGGGTACATGTGAAGAACATGCAAGATTGTTGCATAGGTACACACATGGCAATGTGGTTTGCTGCCTTCCTCCCCATCACCTATATCTGGCATTTCTCCCCATGCTATCTCTCCCCAACTCCCCACTCCCCGCTGTCCCTCCCCTATTTCCCCCCGACAGACCCCAGTGTGTGATGCTCCCCTCCCTGTGTCCATGTGTTCTCATTGTTCAACACCCACCTATGAGTGAGAACATACGGTGTTTGATTTTCTGTTCTTGTGTCAGTTTGCTGAGAATGATGGTTTCCAGGTTCATCCATGTCCCTACAAAGGACATGAACTCTTGTTGCTTGTTTCTACTGCAGGCCTGAAAGCAACTGATGGCTGCAAAGTGGCACAGGTTGAATCATTGGCCTATGACTCCAACTGCAGCGGGAAAGAGAGCCTGGAGGTGGCGTTCCCCTCTTACCCCAGGGAGCCTGACATTTCTGGAAACTGGGCTAGCTCCCTCTCACCTTCCTTTCTCCCTAGCCAAGGCACAATAAAGAGTGAATGGGGCAGGAAGGGTGGGGTCCTTGTCTTCCAAACTAAAGCTTTTGTGTCTGAGAGCAAACCTAGCTGCAAAGGGGCTGCAAATAGCCAAACCTGGGATGGTGGTAAAGGAATATTCCCAGCAGGAAAACCAGAGAGCTTGTCTGACAAGCATTTGTTAACTGAATTGATCTGATTACTCAGGATTTTCTTAGCCAGGACTGGGGCAGAGAGGGGCTGCAGTTGCTTTTCATTCTATTTAATTTCTGTTTTCCAAGAATGAATATCAAGGGAGCAGCTTTGATTAAACAAGCCTTTAAAAAGGGGGAGAAAATGCCAGGTTTTACAGAGAGCCTTGCTCAGTCGCTGGCAAATGGCCACATGACACAATATTTTTAGTCTTTGGATATTATCTCCTTTCTTAGTACAAAACTGCTATTCCCTTTAACACAGCTCTTAGGTTCAGGGAAAAAAGAAATTAGCCTGGTGTTAAAAAGAAAAAAAAAAATCAAGATTCCAGGAAATCACCCTCTTAATAGAAATTAAAAAGAAAATTCTCATGTGCCTAGTTCTACAGTTCTCCATACGCTTTCTATCTGCTACTGTTTTTCTTTTTTCCTTTCTGCATAAGTTGTTGAGGCTATGGGCCCAACGGAGAAGATTTTATAGCCAAGTGTAGCATTAGCACATTCAAATAGATTTTTAGAAAATGTTTTGCAGGATGTTTTTTTGTTGTTGCTTTTTTTTTTTTTTTTAAGATTCTCTAAGATGGGAATGTTGGTCTTACGTAGATGGGAAATGAATAAGAAGAAAACCTTAATATTTAACATTGAACAAATATTTATTGAGTATCTATTATGTGCTAGTCACTGAGGATGCAGCAGTGAGTAAAATGAAGCCCCTTCCCTTATGGATCCCTTCTGATGGGACAGCAGTAGTAACATTTATTGAGGGCTTGCTATGCGCCAGGCATTGTTCTAGCACTTTACATGATAACCCATGAGGCATGCCCTAGTATTATTACCCTTTGCAAGCATCACATGGCTGGAAAGTGGCGAACCAGAATTCACATCCCAGTATTCTGGCTCCAAAGTCACCAAACTTAATTTACTGCCCTAATTTGTGACTCTTGTATTCCAGATGAGTCTAAGGGTCCTTCTTCTCGGTTCCCATCATATCCCGTATTGATCCCCCTTGGAGCACCTCCCCAAACCTTTATTCCCTCAGTTGACCATAAGATTTCGGAGGGCAGGGCCTGTCTGTCATCTCTGTATCCCAAGACCTTTTCATGCTTGGGACCAACCAGAATTGGAGACCCAGCTGCTAGAGCATTTCAAAACACAAGTGGAAAGACACCCTGATTCAGGTTCATATAGTCAATCTCCTTCCTGACCCACGAGTCTCTCAAACTCTGTCGTTCTATCATATCTAGCTTAAGGCTCTGATTTATGGACATGTGAGGGTTCTCTGCAGGGAAGACTCTGCCTAAAGACACAGGACTGCTCTGTGCGTGGGCAGCTGCCGGCCTAGACAACTGCTGCCAGGCCGTGAGCTGGAGTGCTAATGGGGGGCTTGGGATTTAAACATCCCACCTGGGAGTGTTGCCAAGGTGCTTGCACAATTCGTGGGTCAGGAGAAGGGTGCTCTGTGGCATCACCCAAATATTTCCCCTTAAAAATGGGCAGAAAACACCTAAATGATCAGCAAGAAAGGATTTAGTAAAATAAACCCCTGTAGTGTGATGCTGTGCCATTGTTAACTAACCAGGCTGTAAAATAGGATTTAAGAATAGGGGTAAATGCTCAAGATATAAATGTAATGAACAGATATTATGATTTTGTTAATAACATCACCATTATTTTTTGGAAAGTATACATTTGTATAGAAAAGAACAGAAGGCTAATCACCAAAATGAGATTTAATGGGTGACATATTTCATCTCTTTTTTATACTTTTCTGTCTTTCTCAGTTTTGTATAAACTATGTTCATTACAACTAGAGAAACATTATTAAACAATAAACAAAAGGAAACTTTAAAAATGGCTTTAAAACCTTATACTGGCCTCATAGGAGACCTTTAATCTATTTTCTGTGTACACTTTCTTCTTGTACTGGGAGCTCAGCAGTGATCATAACACAGCAAATCGCTGGGTTGGAAACCTCGGCAGGTGTTTGCTTTGATTCTAGGCTTCAGGGGCTGTGGCTCTGGTTGCAAAACCTCCACTGATGATCTGATCCTGAGATCTAAGGCCTTGAGGCTAGAACATCCCTCATCCTAGCAGGAAATAATGAAACCTTCTAACCTTAAAGCCCTTTGGAAAAAATGGATATAAACATGTAAGTCTCTAACGTTGCTGCGATCCTTCATATTTTACGGCGTGCATTCTCATTTAATCCTTGATAACATGGAGGAGCAATTGGTCACATCAGCCCTAAATTATTGGCAAGAAAGGCACTTGTCCCAGATCTTGTGGTAAGGACCAGAGCTTAAGCCAGATGCAGTGGCTCATGCCTGTAATCCCAGCACTGAGGGAGGCAGAGGCAGGTGGATCCCTTGAGTCAGGAGTTCGAGCCCAGCTGGGCAACATGGTGAAACCCTGCCTCTACAAAAAATACAAAAAAGTTAGTCAGGTGTGGTGCCACACACCTATAGTCCCAGCTACTCATGAGGATGAGATGGGATGATTGCTTGAGCCTGGGAGGTGGAGAGGCTGCAGTGAGCCATGATGGCACCACTGCACTGCAGCCTGGGTAACAGAGCCAGACACTCTCTC